CCCCAAAACCCCAAAACCCCGTTGGATATTTATAATCTACCAGATATCATTTGGTGAATTAACAAAGTAAATAATTGTGAGCGCTTATAATAATAGTAAGTTTAGCAAGTAAATTAAATCTTAAATGAAAGTAGAATCACCTTAAATAAAGTCTTTCAAGAGCTCTTCTCTGAACACAACACCCCTCAAGAATATCAACGGGAGACTTCACGATACTCACACTCTTGAAAAGATACTTGAAATAGACTTAGGGGATTCAGTTAGAAAGAATCATTTGCTGAGTACAGCTGCGACGGTTGACCAGAGATCGAATTAGAACCCAAATGACTCTTTTGCAATAAAACCTCACTTGTAAAAAAAAGGAATCTAAATATAGGTGGTTGACAATCAAGACCGAAACCGAAATCAGCCCTCTCTTCCGTTTTCACCTTTGATTAAAGCCCAAGAGATAGGGATTTTAAACATGAAGACACCCAAAATAAGAAACTATAGCAATAACAGAGAGTAGCAATAATCCAAGGGACATCATTAGCAATTTTCGCTGCCTAAAATAAAAGAGTTTAAGCCTAGACGTAACTTTTAAGCAAGGTCACTTAATAAATATGATAGCAAGCAAAATTCTCAGTCTTATCTGGGAGGCTAGCAAGATGAATCAGATTAGAGGTATCAGAACTAAGGCTCAAATAATGAAAACAAGATGAATAGATCGCTGGCTGAGCAGTCTCCTCTGAATCGAATCGAGGGCTCAAATCATCTTCGAAGAAACAATCTCAACTTTACATAAATAGCAGACGTCAATCATGCTACTAACTCTCAATCTAGCTTTTCAGGTCAAACTCCTAAAGCTGGTGATACGTCCTCTAAAACTAACTTCAACACTATAAGTGGCAGTGGCTAGACTCACCACAATCAGAATTTGTTTTATGGATTGTCGCCAAAATAATTTATAGAAGAGATTGAGAAATAGCTAAATACAAAAGAAGCCTAGGCGCTGTTAAAGAAGTAAAAGTTAAAAGAAGATAGAATGAAGAATCGAAGTAAGATGGGTGGAGGCAGAGAAAGTGCTCTCTCTGTGGTTACCTCCTAGTCTTACTATCTTAAAGATGAGTACTTGACTGGAGAAAAATCAAAAATGAGGAAGTAGAACCAGGCTAGTGCTTAATCTACTCACATTACTCCTACAGTCAAAATCAAGGGAGTAGGCTTTGAATAAACGCCTTATTAGAAACTACTATAGCAAGAAAATAGTCAGTCTCCTTCTTAGAGAAAGGACTATCAATCAGGAATTGTAAGTTTATTCTATCAATTAATATATATCTTGCTTAGAACTAATAGTTTTTACTGATGGCCAGTGCTAAGAAAAGGAAAGAACAGAGAATTTATCAAAAGTTGGAGTCAAACTTGAAAACCTTTGTTGATGGCAGGCAATCAATAAAAGATCAAGATAACTAGTACGAGTTGAAACTCAAGGGCATTCTAGAGTAGGATGAGTACTATAAGAAACGAATTGATGAACTATCTTAGAGCGTGAATGTTAAGGAGTTAAAGGAGGTACTCAAGGAACTTGGTGATATGAACTTGCAGCAACATAAGCAAATGCTGCCAAACATAGAGAGCGGTAAAAGATTCTATCTTTCCTATGCTAAACTCAACCTCAGACCATCAGAGTTATGAGCAAATAAGTCATCATAGATGACATATAAATAAGGTAATGAGTAAATAAAATGAGCGCTACCTACGATAACTATTCCTATATTAAAATTAATTGAAATTCGAAAGCAATTTGTCAATACTCATCAAAATTATAGCCACTCGGGGTTTTGGGGTTTTGGGGTTTTGGGGTTTTGGGG